ATAAGACCCGGATCGATCGACGATGGTGGGTCGATGGAGGACGAGTGGCGGGAAGATTCGTCAATGGAGTCGGACGCTTCCTCTGGTCCCGAGCAGCCCGAGCTCCTCCGAAAGGAGGGGTTGAGGAGGAACGCTCTACGGGGGAAGAGAAAGTCGGCGGCGGTGAGGGAAACCAATCCGTGTTGCGTCGTCCGGGAGGGCGAGAATGATCTCGATGATACTTGCCAGTCGAATCTCAGCTGTGAGTCGGTCTCGGACGATCCGAGGCCGGCTAGACGGCGATGCAAGAGAAGTAGAGTCGGCGATGATCATCAACCAGCATTGTCACGGCCTCCTCAGGTAAATTATAACATGGGAGTTTCTGATCTGGAAACTTATCATGGATGCTTCTCTTTGCAGGTTGTAGATGAGCACTCGGATGAGAATGAGGTCGAGGTTGAGGCTGGCGAAGCCGAGATTTCCAGCCCTCCAAGCGTCAATGTAAGAAGCGAGCTTCTGCTTCCGGGCTTTGATTGTTTCGTGGATTGACGGTCTTGTCTTCCTTCTCCACCAGATACACGAGAAAGCTGTAGATTCACGCTTGGAGTTGCTGCAGCACTTGATACCACATAGTAGTAGACAGGTACGGGGCGATCTGGTTTGGCTCTTGAGAAGCGCGCTAAGTATTCCGTGTTTGTGTAAACCATTTGCAGCTGGATGAAGAGCAAGTGCTAGAAGTCGCGATCGACTACGTGAAAAGTCTGGAAGAGGAGATCAAGGTAGAGCTTCTTGGCTGCTGCGAGCGATCCTAGCGGAAGTTCTAAGCTTTGTTTTGCCTTCTTAGATGTTTGGAGCTTCAAAGGATGGATTGAGCAGCGAGCAATCTGCCTCCGCTGGCGATAGCGCAATGACCTCGCAGACTTGCCAAGCTGCAAGTGCGTTGCAAGACAAGGGCATTTGCATGTTCCCACTGTCAATGGTGGTGGCAACGACAACATGACGCAACGATCAGTCCTTTTGTATGATGCATTGCTGCTGCTGCTGAGCTCCTTGTACCAGTGCCAAGTTATAATGCTCTCCTTTTTTGGTGCCAAGATCATCCACTGATCCAACAGAAAAGGGTATCATCGATGTCTTGGTTTGTAAAACAAGAATGTCTTGCTGCTTCCCAGTTTGCTGGAGCAAGAAGCATGGACACAACACACAACACACAAATCCTTTTTGATCTCAAGCTCAACTTGTATCTTGTGTCAACTGTTAAAAAGAGGAAAGAACTCCTTGCTCTTTATCTCTGGTTGGTAAGCAGATCTACTACACCTGCCTTTTGTTCGCATGCATGACAACACCACACACAAAACAGTGCAAGCGAAAATTTAGAAAGGTACCCACATCATATGTAATGTGTGAGTGCATGTTTGGAGCAACAGCCAGGTAAAGTCAGGAAGGATCAAACAAGAGTTAAACTCTTTTGGATGCAGCCATTCACCCAGGCAGCCATGCATGCATAAGCATTAACAACATCCCCAATAAAGTAGGGATGATGAAACAGTACTTACTAGAAGGTAGGCTGAGCCCAGCTCTGGAGCAGCAAAAATAACACAGGCTTTGAATTTGTTTGCATTCTTCTTGTGAGTGCTGCAGGCAGGGAGGCAGGAGGGGCAGGGCAGGGAAGGGGGGCAATGAAGGGAATATAAACTCATTCTATCTCCTTGTTTTTGCATTGCTCTTGTGGGAGAAGAGGAAGATGTGGATGTAGACCTACCTAACCCCTTCCTGGGGGACAATGCTAACACTGTTACTCCTGGTATGTCAAATTCCTGGCATGGATGCTTATATGATACTGAATAAAAAATTGCCAAAACAGTATGTTATGTGTCATATGGGCTTCTATTCTATGCCTCATAATCTCTTTGGAATCATGCACAATTTGGGGGAGGGACTGGTGGTGGTGCTGGTTTGAATTTCAGGCCCTCCACCATCATGATCACCATCACCTTGTGAGGAATATGACAGTGAGGTGTGCCTGGCATGGGCTAGCTTGTTGCATGTGCAATGCTGGCCTGTTCTCTGCTCCCTCATCCCTCTTTCACTCCTTTCAGTCTTGTGGCGTCAATGGAGGTAAAAGATTTGGTGGTGCTGTGTTGTGAGAACAGTGGTGGTTGACTCCTTCCTAACTGAACATGAACTGCTAAAAAAGCACTAAAGGAAAAGAAAAGAAAAAAAAGAAAAAAAGAAACAACAAACAGCCAATCTCTGCCTCTGTCTCCCGATTCTGGGGCCACGGCAAAATCTCCAAAAGCCTGCTGCTGCCACTGCGCGTTCTCAGGGCAGCGAGCGAGAGTTTCACATACACACAGAGATGCAGAGCATATGCTCCCTCCTGGTTTCCCTCACTGTCACTTGTTACCCGGGGAAGGATTTTTACAGCTCCTCCTTCCTGCCTGAGCGCCGAGCATGGGGCACGATGGCATGCCCATGCATGCGACATCGCACTCAAGGAATTGAATTTGGGGGTGGGGGGTGCTTCAAGCCTCGTTTGTTCCCTCTTTTGTTTGGTAGCTAAATTCACACTAAAAAGAAAATATCCACCGGTCAGCAGCAGCACAGCAGCAACAACAACTTTGGTACGATTGTGTTTCCGGCCAGCCAGCGACCTACCTATATATTCCCCCCTTTCAATTCCGTCAACTTGTTGCCACTAATTGCTAATGCATTAAGTCCATGCTGTACCACCACCACCTTGGCCCTATAGACACACTCCATACAGCTCAGCCCCTCTGTTTCTCTCTCTCATTGGAGAGATAGGCAGTAAGGAAGATCTCACAGGATCTCAGCACTGCAAAGACAAAGATACACACACGCACACTCTCTCTAGTATAAATTGCTTAGCTAGCTATTACTTTGCTTGTCAATCTCTCTAATACTACTCTTATCTCAGTGATGTTCATGTTATAAGCCATAGCTAGCCAATCCCACTAGGAGCATGAGACAATGTCCCCCAGGGACAAAGAGAAAAGGAAAAGCAAAGGCTTACATTTTTTGTTCTTGATCTTGTGAAGGCTGTGCTATGCGATTGTACACATTTGGTTGTTGTTGTGTTTCACTGGATGGCAGCATATAACTCTTGTTCCCTTTTTGAGGCACTCAGCTGGAGCATAGGCCAGAAAGACGATCAGCAAGCAAAACAACAAACCAAAACAAAAGGAAGCTTACGAGTTGCATGAGTTGATCGTCTGTTATACCCGCGGGAGCCTCTGTCATGTGGAGTTGTCTGAGTTTCTTGTCGATTTCCTGGCGGCCACGGGTTGTTCAGTGAAAACTCGAGGCGAGACAATTATGTTACCTCCATTTTTTCTTCGTACTCTCGCCTCTCCTTCAGCTCCCCTAAGTAGTCCTCCACAACTGTAGTTCCTGCGAAAGGCTCGAGTGCTCTTGACAAAGCTTCATGATGCACGGAGAACTCCTCTGACTTGGTCCGAGATTCGCCATTCTCGAAATACGACTTGCTCTTGGGCGTGGACACTGAAACAGAAAAACGCGAGTTTGTGAGTGAGTGAATATTTTGATAGAATGCTGGAGAGAATTTAATCTTTTGGAATACCTTGTGCACGGATAAAGTTTACCTGAAGCCATGGGAGACAATGACGGACATCCAGGCATCAAAGTTTTGCTATTTGGAGTAGAAGCTGCAAACAAACACTGCGTCAGCCACCAATATAGAAGAACCAAAATAGAAAAAACAAGACGTACACGACGCCATGGGTGAAATGGAATAATAGCTGTGGCTCTCTTTGTAAGGGTCTAGCCTGCAGTCTATCTCTGCCAGGCGAACGGCCTCTTGGCCCTCCACATCAAAGGCCTGGTCCAAATTCTTTTAGTGCGAGCATACCAGCGTCGAGTGTTAGCAAATACCGTTGAGACATGCGAGATAACACTGCTATTATCCCCATCGTCGTCAACAATGTCTTGCTGGCGAAGCAATTCTTCCACCATCGCTTCCTCCTCTGGCTGGAAAAAAAAAAACAGCTAGTTATAAAGCAATCTGACCGAGTAAAACACGCTCACCGTGAGCCTGAAGTACCTCGCACTTGGTCCTAGAAGAATATTTCTTAAAACATGACCTTGTTTCTCAGGATGCAAGGCGTCTAGATTTTCCAGAGATCGCTTAAGTTTCGCATATCTTCGTCGTCTCTTCCTCTCATCCCTAAGAAGAACAGATGCTCTCAACAGGCTTTCGAACAAGTTACTCTCTTACCTCAGCTTTCTTGATGCATCGGACTCATATTCTCTACCGCCGAGACGGCGATGTCTGGCTCCTCGCTCCAGCTCTTGAAGCTTCATATCCAGCATAGTGATCGTCTCTAGACTGCTCCAACCATTTAAGTACAATAGGTAAATCTACTCAAGTCTTACCCACGGTTGATCTTGTCAGCTTCTTCAGGTTTTAGCTTGTCCTTCTGTCCTAAAAAATCAGGGAAAAAACAGTCATGCTTAGTGACAAGAAAGAAAGAAAGAAAAATTCCCTGCCGGATCACCTGGTCGAGATTCTTGAGCCGTCTCCGGCTCTTCTTCTTCATGTCCTCGACGAAAACTTGCATTTCCATGATAAACGTTCTTCGCGGGCCCCCATCAAATCGCGCATTTCCATTTTCCTCGCAACCTTGAACGATCGCCAAAGATGATGAGGCATTCTCCACGATCGGCTCCTCCGGATAAGAGACTGGAACAATCGCCAAGGCATCCTGATTGGAAGCGTCGCCGTCGGCAGCAGCAGCTGATCCAGGCACTAGACACGACCGCATTCTCAATCCACTCTAAAGAGCCAAGAAAAAAAAGAAATCCTTGCCTGGATCTTCCTCTCGCTGCAATGCAGCTGCGCAATCGCCATCATCAGGCCGATGCAAGAAGGAATCCAAGATCCTCGTGACCACCGCGTACTCGTCCTCGTCCTCGTCGTCGCCCAGCCCTAATTCTGGACTATCGTCGTCCATTTCCATCTAAGAACCCTAAAATATTTCTCTTGGGGGGCACTTTTTTTATCGCCGTGCCGGGGCAAATGCAGCGACGCGCCATGGCGAGAGCGGCGCGGCGGCATTGTCACAGAGGTACAAGATCGCCTCGCCAGTGCTAGGGTTTTGATTCCGCAACGCAGGCGTCGCGAGATCTATGCAATGGTAGCCGATTGATGTGTAAGATCCATCATGTCCTGGCAAAAGGAAGTGGCCAACATCAAGCTCCAGATGAAGCTGTCCAAGCGGCGATGGCTGGCCTGGACGCTGGGATTGCTCCTCCTGGTCAGCCTCTCCACGCTGGGCGGCATCATCGCGTACCACTACACGCCCACTCACATCACGCCCTGTGAAGTGTTGGGGACTGATTTGTGTAGAATTGCGCTGCTCGCTCCGCCGGCTCCTCCTCCGCCCAGGCCCTGGTTGAACAAGAGCGACACCGAGATTGCCGAGTTTGCTCTTGCGGTGGATCTCAAGCACCAGAGCTTTCAAGCGCGGTCGGGTCCTTCCAAGGTGGCCTTCTTGTTCTTGACGGCTGGCGCCTTGCCTTTCGAGCTCCTCTGGGAGCGCTTTTTCAAAGTAAGTTTCCTGTTCCTTCTTTTTTTCTTGTGCCTTTCACTTTTTATTTTCGTTCCTTTGCTGGGATCGTCTTTTCTCGTTTTTGTTTGCTTGTTTCTCGCTAGTGTGCTTGCATGGATTCTTGTAGGCAGGGTCTCTTAACTTCTTCCGCGCAGTTAGAATAAGTGTTAACTCCAAAAACATAACTTTTTTCTGCCAGGGAAACGAAGGCTTGTATTCCATCTACGTGCATGCCTCGGACACGGCCATCAACAAGAGGGTTGTGTGGAAGACCGATTTGTTTCGCTCACGAATGATCCGCTCTCAAAAGGTATGGCTTTTACGTCTCCATTGCCTCGGAATCACAAGCATTTTCCTTCCTTCTGTTTTTTACATTCTCGTGTGCCTGGCGACAGGTGCAATGGGGCAACATCAACATGATCGATGCGGAGAGGCGACTCCTCACTCACGCTGTTCTCGATCAGAACAATGCCTACTTCGTTCTTCTTTCCGACACGTAAGTCTCTCCGCCACAAGTTCCTTGTGTTGATCGAGTCAATTGTCAGGTGTGTACCGCTCCATAGCTTCCGCTACACGTACAATCATTTATTGAACTTCAGTGGTAGCTTTGTCGACTGGTAAAAAAGCTTCTCCTTTCCTCTTTGTTTCTGGCGAATATTTAATGGTGGCCGTGACTGGCACAGCTTCGACGACCCTGGCCCCCATGGGAGGGGAAGATACATGGGCTACATGTCCCCGCAAGTAGAGCAATGGGAATGGAGAAAAGGTGCACAGGTTTGTGCTGCTCAAATGCTTCAATTATCTTACAATGCAGTTTAACGACAGAATAAACGTCTCTCAGTGGTTTGCAGTACAGCGCCATCATGCTCTTATGGTCATCGCTGATCACGTGTATTATCGAAAGTTTAAACTGTTCTGCAAGGTAAAGGAGCGTCGCATTTGCTACTTTTCGATGCCCATGCTCACTTGATCCTTTTCTTCCTCGTCTTGTTTTGCAGCCGGGTGACAACAACCGGAACTGCTACCCGGACGAGCATTACTTGCAAACATTCCTCTTCGTAAGCGAACATCCATTTGCTGCTCCATTTCTCTCACACGATCATCCATTTCCAGATTATGGATTCGGCAGGGATAGCAAACTGGACAGTCACTCACGTCGACTGGTCCGAAGGCAAATGGCACCCGAAATCATATACTAAAGCAGACGTAACTGCGGAGAAACTGCGGCAGCTCCAGGTACCCCTCCCTTGCTGCTTCGGTCTCCTGTTTTCTCTCCTCCTCGCAACAGTTGCAAAAGCTCATTCGTTCGTGTCACTGATCTTACCTGTGCCTGTGCGTGCTTCCATCCAGATGATTGACGAATATGTGCACAAGACAAGTACTGCAAAGGTATGATTGAATCGATTCGCAATCTCTAAAAGCTGTGCGCGCCTAACTCGGATCCTCTTTTCCTTTTCTTCTTTTTTTTATCCCTCTTGCAGGCTGTGGTAACGAGAACTCCGTGTATATGGAATGGCGAGCGGCGGCCGTGTTTTTTATTCGCGCGAAAGTTCCTTCCAGAGACGGCCCAAGCTTTGCTCAAGATCTTGCCCAACTCGACGTGGGAAAAATCGCCACCATTATTGTAGAGTGTCGTCAAAAGAATCGCAATGAGAAATACCAAAGAAACGAATAGAATGGAAAGAAAATATAATTTAAACAAAAAAACCAGAGGAGGAATGGCCACGTGTCATGACACGCAAGCATGCCACATGGGCATATGCGGCGACATGAAGCGTGCAGCTTCATGTCGCCGCATCTCAATTAATAAAAAAGAATTTTTTTTTCTCCCCCCTTCTTCTATCATCAGGGTTGTGTTTTTCTTTCCATCTCTCTCTCTCTCTCTCTCTCTCCATCTCTCGCAGCTGATTTGCCACCGCCGCTCGCTCGCCCGCTCGCTCGATCGCGCGCATTTCTCCCTACTCTTTCTCGCCGCGATTTTGATGGTCTGACTGGGTGTGAGGAACGAGAGGGCGTCGCCATGAGCTGCAATGGGTGCCGGGTTCTGCGCAAGGGCTGCAGCGATGGCTGCGTTCTCCGGCAGTGCCTGCGATGGATCGAGAGCCCCGATGCGCAGGGCCACGCCACGGTCTTCGTCGCCAAATTCTTCGGCCGCGCGGGGATGATGGCGCTGATAAGCTCCGTCCCGGAGAGTCAAAGACCCGGTAAAGTAAATATACTTGATGGAGAGCCTCATGGTTTTTTGGGAGTTCTCTTTAGAGATTATTCTGTGCGAATTCTTTTGCCAGGATGATCGGTTGTTCCTGTGAGTGCATGCATGGAAGAGTTATTCCTTCCTTCAAGATGTTGCGTGCTCTTAGTATAGCTTGCAAGTTTCCTCTTGGAACCTTTGGTTTATGGTGTTTAAAATTGATCTCCATGCAGCATTGTTCCAGTCTCTCCTCTACGAGGCATGCGGCCGGACCATAAATCCCGTGTTTGGAGCTGTGGGGCTGCTGTGCTCGGGCAGCTGGAAGCACTGCCAGGACGCGGTGGAGACGGTGCTCAAAGGGGGCTTGCTTTGCTCCACGGTTTCCACTGGCACCGGAAGGCTCTCCAGCGCCTTCGGCACCGGAAGGCCCTCCATCGGCTTCGTCACCCCCTCCCAGTCCCAGCAAGCTTTCGCGTCCGGAAGGCTTCCCAAAGTTCGTCTCGGGAGAGGCTACTTCAGCACTGTCACCGCCGCTGCGGCTGGAGCCTTCTCCATCTACAGTTGCACCAAGGACACCAACAATGACAACTCCGCCACCAATGCGCAAGGGTTCTCGCTCGACGGCTCCAAGTTCGCGGGAGTGAAGCGGGCGCTGGATCGCGACAGCAGCGAGAGCAGCAGCTTTGCGAGCCTCCAGCGGAGGCATCGCTCGGCCGCGACAACCTTAAAGGTCGAGCTCCAAGAACAGGAGGAACCGGACGAGCACTTTTACGAGGACGAGGATCAGGGCCGAGGATCGGGAGGTGGCGTTGTCCACGATCGTCGTCCCCACGCGATGGCGTGTGGCTCTGGTCGTCGCGACCACCACGCGGTGGAAAACGACGGCGGAGCTGCCGCGGCAGTGGTGGTGGAGAAAGGGTGGCGGCCAGGCGGCGACGAAGTTGGGCTGGACCTCACCTTGGGCTCGTCCTCATCCAAGATGAGCTCCAAGAACAGCCATCGTCACCTTGTCGCGAGCTCGAGTGTCGCCGCGAAGCGGACAAGCCCCGCGAGTCCTTGTCACAGCTCCGAGGCAGATTCCGACACTACAGATTTGTCCATTTCGATGCAGTCCCAATCCAACACAGTGGCAGCAAGAGCGTTGCCACCAGCACCACCACCACTGCCATCACGGCCAACAACACCACCATCACCACCACCGAGAACAGCTCAAGAAGTCTTGAGCCCCACGGCAGCCAAGGGTGATCTGCTGCTCATGGATCTTCTTCACTGAGCTCCACAGGTGCGTGATTCTCTCGTCTGATTCCTTCAAATCTGACAGAAGCGTATATCAGGTGGGACGCACACAAGTCTTGTCAAAAGATCTCCATGGCCGGCCAGTGCGTCTGATCGTAGAAGTTCTTACTAAAGTATAGCGAGTCTGATTTAAGATGCGAGAGAAGGTTTATGAGAAGCAAAAATTTTGTAGCCTGTGTTCTTCCAAGTTTCTTACTATTAATCTCTTTTTTTGTTCTTTACTTCCACTCTTTACTTCCACCACTGGGAATCAGTGGTGGTTCCAAGGTCGGCCTTTGATTGACTGATTGGTTTTTTTTTCTCTGGGTGGTGGTCCATAGCATATATGCGCTCGGGGGCCTTTGTAAAGCCTTACGTGGGTCACGAGGAATAATTCAATCCGCCAGGATTCCAGCAATGATCCGCGGCCAAATTGCGAGACTAGTGGGGGCCTGTATCGCAAAACTGGAGCTCGATTTCTCGGTTTAAGGCAAATAGACTTAGATAAAACAGGGGAGAGATTTTCAATGTAGCAACCCAACGTCCCTCCAATGCAAAGTCGCAGTGGAGGGATAGCGAGGGCTGCAAGGAAAATTTTGCTTCCAGGGAACGGGCCTTCTGGAAATGAGGATATTACCAGAGGCCAGCAAAATAAAGAAGCCAAACACTCCCAATCCAAGTGAATTTGTGACTGAAGAGCGCGTGAATCCACACGGGGAGTGATCCGCGCGGATGGATCTGCGACCAGCAGCGCCTGATTCTAAGCGCATTGAGTTTGATCGCGTGCCACAGAGAAATCGCAGGCGATATCGGATGAGCGCTATGAAGAACCCTAGCGGCCGCTAGGGCTTGGGGGAGAGCTATATATTGGAATGGACGGAGCAGATCGTCTGGGATAATTGACGGTGGTGATCTTCGCTTCATCTGGATGAGGGGGATTAGGGTTTATACCAGGGAAGAGGGGAAATGGCTGCTGCCTTGGTGAGCCAGGCTGCTGCTGGATTGGGGTCGCGATCGTCCTCATCGTCGTCACTGGGGGGAATAGGAGGATCATCCAATCTTCTGGCGTGTTCTTCGTCGCGGCAGCACTTCCAATTTCCAGTAAGTGCGTGGACGAGCGCTGGTAATGTGGTGAGAGTATCGAGTAGGTTGCGCGGCGTCATTAGGTGCCAATGCCGCGCTGTGGATGACAATTCCGAGGGAAATGCGGAAACATCGGGCACCGATGAGAGAGTGTTGAGAATCAAGAGTGTTTCCTCGAGGAAGCTGGAGGAGTACATTGCATCGTCGTCGGGATCGTCGTCTTCGTCGTCTTCCCCCGAGGATAAGGAATGGAAGTCGTGGCAGGAGCATTTTCCAAAGGTGGAGGAGGAGGACAATCTCATCTCGGCTTTAAAAGTTTGTCACTCTTTTTCTTGGATTTTCGTTTGGTGTTACTTATCGTTTGTGGCTTGCGCAGTTCCAGCTAGAGGAAGCTGTGAAGCTGGAACATTTTCAAGAGGCAGCGAAGCTAAAGAGAGCTATCGAAGCAGCCAAAGCAAACGACGTGATATCGGAAGTTAACAAAGAGCTTCAGGTCGTTTTTTCTTCCCATTTTCCTCTGATATACATGCATGAACGATTTTTATTTTATTTTTTATTTTTGTCTCTAGAGAGCTTTGCAAGAGGAACGATACAAAGACGCTGCACGCTTGAGAGATGAAGCTGGTGCTGGCCTGGTATGTCTGTGCTTCGTACCGCCGTTGTCATTCCATTTCACTGCCTTGCAGGTAGGATGGTGGGCAGGCATCTCCAAAGATGGAAGTGATCCTTTTGGGAGAATTATCAGGGTGAGAGCCGCTCATGGCAGGCTTATAGCACAGAACTACACTGCCAGGTTTTCTCGGATTTAAGATGGAACAATGCGAATCCTTATGTTTTGCAGGCAGTTAGCTACCTTTGCTCAAAAGAATGGTGCAGAAGGTGATGCGTTATTCGAAGTTTTTGTTAAGAAGGAAGATAATGGATTCAACAAGCAGGTGGGCCTTTTTAAGGAAGAACTTGAGAATAACTTTCCCCTGTGCACAGGTTGTTTACTTGCAACACCCAGCAGAAGCAGAAGCAGCAGACCTGGATAAACTTGTCGATATTGACATTGACGAAATAGTTCAGCAGGCGGAAAATGAAAGCACGGAAGAAAAGAACAGAACAAAGAGCGCAGGAAAGACAGAAAAGCAGGAAAACGAGAAAGCAGATGACGACTCCGATGAAGCACACGTACAAGCTAGCGGTATAGTCGACTTCTTAAAGGATAGAATCCCCGACCTCAACATGAAAGTTATAAAGGTGATCGCTCCAGAAGGTTCAGAGCCAGACATCCCAAAGATTATCGAGGAGATAATCGAGAGGGAGCAGAAAGAGCACCGGGATAAAAGTGATGCCTCTGCCATTGGTGGGATAGTCGTTCAAGAATCGTCCGATACCGAGGGAAAGGCAGGGGACGACCAGGTCCCGGGCGATAAGGCTGTTACCATCAGAGTAGTTATAGGTGGAGCTTCTCCTGGAGAAGGCGGAGATGGTTCTATCGGTCCTGCAGTGAGGGTGCCCGCTACCATCAAGCAAGAGTCAATAGACAGTTTTGTGCTTCACATTGATTCTATTCCGGACGATATTCACCAGGACGATTCGAAGGCTTGGAAGGTTGCGAGGATTGCCACTAAGGCGTCAGCAGATCAGATGCCCGATGACGTGGCTCAAAAGTTGTGGAATGTGGAAAAGGTGCCAGTGCAGGTGATTTCTAGACTTTCTGTTTGTTTCTGCAAACTGTTGATACTGTAGTTACAGGTTTCTAAAGAGCTAAAAGAGGTTATCAAGCTCGCTGTGAATCAGGCGCAAAAAATGCAGAGCTTGCCAAAGACCACTGTCTTTCATCGCATCGACGTGACTGAATCCTCTGATCCATTCACGGGTAGGACGCTGGTATTTAGTACCTCGTATATTGATTTCTCCAGTTTGATGTAGGCCTCTATGTTGGGGCTTTCGGCGCAAACACTCCGGAGATCCTTCAACTTAAGCGGAAATACGGCCACTGGGACACGAAGAGATCAGTCCCGGATGACAAGCTCAAGTTTTACGAGTATGTGGAGGCTATTAAGCTGACAGGCGATTTAAACGTTCCCGCGGGGCAGGTATGAAGCTTCCAAGAGTATGTCGGTTGTTTGCTGATTCTTAGAAATTTCTGGCAGGTAAGCTTTCGAGCACGTATTGCCAAAGAAAACAGGATGTCACCACTGGGCATCTATCCAGAGGAGTTAGGAGTGGTATGTTGTTTTCTCATTGGCTTCGCATTTTAAGCGAATTTTTTTGGTGTGTTTTTGCAGATTGCCCGATACAGAGGCCAAGGTCAACTGGCAGATCCTGGCTTTAAACACCCCAAGTGGACTGACGGAGAGCTTGTATTACTCGATGGAAGGGTAAGTTAAAGCTACTGGCTTTTCTCGTTCTTTTCTAATTTGAGCAATATCTTTCCAGACAACTGGCCCGACGAATGGTGCAAGGCTCGGATTCGTTTTCTACTTGCCTGATCACCACTTCCTCATCTTGTTTGACCGGCTAAACCTTGAGAAGTTATCATAAGGTGCTGACAAAAGCTATAGATTTTGAGGAGCTCCTTTCGAACACGAGAGCTTTCTAGCTCTGGAAGGAGATTTTGCCAGCAAAATACAATTGCAGCGGGTAGTTGCAATTGTTTGTTTCCCTTTTGTAAAGTTCTGTACAATGCCAAGATTGTTTTGCAGTAACCTGGATTGTGATCGTTACTATAGTACACTCAGCCGAAAGAGAAATGAGAACTGTCCGCGATCCTCTCACCAGGTTTGTCACGTTCCTTCATCTCCTATTTTAATTCTGTTCGGCAAATGTAACACTGCGTCTGCAGGATCAGATCTGTCCGCCAGCAGCTTGATGATATGTTGCTCGGGCAGCTTGTGCTTCTCCACCAAACTCAAAACGCTCTTTTCGAGGACCTGAGTTACCCACCTCTGAAACTCGTCGTTTCTCCCTTGGCCTTCCCAGACAACCGCAACCAGATGCTTGAATAAGGTGGACTCTACTTCTATGGTAACTTCCGGCCCAGAGGCAGCAGTGCTAATCTCCTTGACGACAAGCTCGGCCAACTTCGTGAAGTTGAAAGGCCTGAACACGATGGTGCCGCTCATTCTGTCCCAGAAGTTCTTGGAAAGCTGGTCGCAGGCCCTCTCGAGTAGCAGCTTCACTTGGCTATCCTTGACGTCGATCTTCTCGACCACATTATCGCCAGCTTTTGGAGCTGCCTCGTCTTCTTCCAGGGGCAGGTTCAAGTCGAGCTCCACACCTCGGGACTCAACCTTGTTGCGCTTCTCCACCACAGCCGCCGGAGCTTCCATCAGGTCGCTGGCTCCTGCCTTACGCTTACTATGCGACGTACTATCACTGGGAACCGAGCTTCTAATGACGGACACCCGTTCGCCTTTGTGGAGCACGGCTTCCGGATCTGCTGCCTCGGCCGCAACCAGCTTCATCCCGACTATCTCAGTACCGGCAATGATCTTCTCGTTCAACTCCAGCGACGTGAATTGGTTTTCCTGCGGCAGCAGCTCCTCTCCGATACTGGAGGTCATTATGACGATCAAGTTGGCCACACTTACTTCTCGTCCGCTCGAGTCGGCCAGCCGACCTCTCTCCATGGCCTTCACCAGGGAACTTTTCAGCCTCGGGTCAGCTTGCTCTATATCTTCCAAAAGTACCACCGAGAACGGTTTGCTCCTCACCGAATCAGCAAGTCTATCCAGTGGAGTTCGTCCTCTGCCAGTCACAGCTTCAACGTCCCGCTCCTGACGCTTACCGGACCTCAAACTCAACCGGAGGAGCATTTTGTCGGAACCGTAGACTTGCTCCGCCAGAATTCTCGCGACTTTCCTCTTCGCCATGGCATCCGGCCCCAGGAACAGCAGCCAGGTGTTGCCTCTTCCAGCACGGTTCAAAATTGTGGAAGACACAGCGTCGACGGCATCCCGTTGCCACGGTACGTTTTCTGCCAGAGCTTTGCAGAGACCTTTATAGTCGAGTTCCTTCACCGGTGGAGCCTTGAAGACGTTCGGTTTGATAACAGCAGGTACCTGTGGCTTGTCAATCCCGTTCTGGTAACTCCTCTTCTCGGGTGATATAGGCAAGACCGGAAAACCAAAGGAACCCGAAGTTGTGCAACCAGCTGCTAGGCTTTCCAAGGCCTCGCGACGTTGGTGCTGTTGTTGTTGCGGCTTTGCATCAACAGTGAAGCCCTTCGACTGTGCGGTGACGCTGCTGTCATTGCACTTGAGTGACTCGGACCGTCCAAGAACCAAGTCAGTTTGCACCGTCACCTCGGAATCCGGTTGCTTTCCTTGCGGACTAGAACTATGTGGAGTGGATGGCTTGAGACTCAGCCCGATATCCGTGGACAAGCCATCTTCCGCCAAGCTGGTGCATACGGGCCCAACCTCTTCGCCGTGACTACGAGCCGCCAGTCCATTCTTCTCGGGCACTGGTTGCGTGCCATTGGAGATTTGAGGCTGGAGAGAGAGCCACGGGATCGACATGGGCAAGCTACCACCAACAGTAGTACTGCAAGCAACTTTGCCATTGGCACCGGTCTCGGAGGAGAAGCCTTTGGTCGAGCTCGAGTTTCGCCGCATCCCATGCAGGCTCCGGCACGTTTGCGACCATTTCTTCTGGAGCTCCTTCAACTTTTGGCTACGTCCATTTGCCTGGCAAATATCATCGTCAGAAAACACGACAAGCGAGAGCAGCAGTAGTGGAAAGAAAGTGCCAACCTGGTCGGCATCCTTGTTTGGCTTGAGCCAGAATGGCAGGCCACTGGGGGTGTGCTCCTCGCTGCTCGAGATATTCTCCTGCACCTCCTGCTCGTACTTGGCAACGCACTCGGCACAGCAGTTCTCCAAGCTTCCATTTTCAGGCTGCAGCTTAAATGGCAACGATGGCCACCGGCCAGGAACAGCAGTACGCACAGGTGACGGAGACTCTACGCAGTTTGAGCTTCCAAACCTGCGAGGACACGAATGGAGTCAAGGGAGGAGGAAGCGGCGTCGAGAAAAAGTTCCTATCACGTACCTGGCGCTGCCGTTGCTGCCGCTGTTCCGCAGAGTCATGCTGAATCCACTGGAGATTGGCAGAGGTTGGAGCCCCCACAAGGAATCGAGAGAAGGATGGCGAGCTTGGCACCTCATATAAGTTTGCGACGACGCGATCCCCATCAACCAGACTTGACTGCTATGTCCAGCCAGCAGCTTTCCAATCTCCGACACGGTATGTTGGACGGGGCAGTAGGGAGGCGACGAGGGAGCCGCTGCTCCAGATGATGGAGGAGGAGGAGGAGGAGAAGGCCTCTCGACGAGCCACTGCAAATCTCCCAGATAGACCACCACGCCGGCGGAGCGCAGCAGGCTCTCCTCCACGGAGCGGACGAGCTCGGCGAGCTTGCGCTCGACTTCGTCCTTGGCATGCAGTCCCAGAGCTATGGAGGCGAATTGCGGCGAGAGTATCCGGAGGTTGGACAGGCTTGGCTCGCAGTCACCTTTGTCGAGCCGGTGCATCACCTCCTGCGCGACACCGTGTGGCGGCTGCTCGCCAAACAACAGCGGATTCCTCTTCTTGGACTTGAGAAGGATCTCCAGCACCCGGCTCACGTCCACGGAGCTCTTGTTGCTGCTACCGCTCGAAGGGATGGTCATCCCCATGAGAACGCTGTTGAGCTGCTGGTGGTGTTGGTGGTGATCGGGAGCAATGCTTCTGCTCGACTGCTGGACGAGCAAGCCTGGAATGAGAAGATTTGGAGCGGTGGTGGTGGTGGTGGAACCCGGACCGAAAACTCCAGCTCGGAACGGAGAAGCTCCTGCTGCTGCCGCTGCCGCCGCGGTGTACTGCTCCAAGGATCCCAATTTCAGCCTCAACCGGTCGACGCTGGTGGTAGAGTTCGGACTGCCAACCATGGATGCTGCCGCCGCCGCAGCCGCCGCTCCTGCCGAAGATGGTAGAATTCTCCTGGCCTGAGCAGCGCAGGTGGACGATCCACCCGAGGCCGACGATGCGGCGGCGGCGGCTGCGGCAGCCAGCGCCTCCTCGAGGCTGTTCTTCACCTGGGTGCTGGAGAAGCTGGCCTCCCTCATCACCCGGCTGACGCTGGGATCGTCCAGGATGGAGATTATGAGCTGCTCCATCTCCACCTTGACGGCCAGGAGAGGGACCTGCTGCTGCTCCGGGTAGCCCCTTCGCTGGTGAGCCTGTGCCCGCTTGAGAGCCGCGACGAGCGCGTTGGAGAGCGCCGGTTGCTGGTGGTGGTGGTGCTGGTGGTGGAGCTGCTGCTGCTGCTGGATTTGGTGGTGGTGCTGGTGGTGATGGTGGTGGTGGTGGAGCAAAGACGATGGAGAAGAAGAAGAAGATGGCGGAGGAGCTGCTGGAGTCACCGGGGTGGCGGTGGAGGAGGGAGTGGAGTTACCGGTGGTGGTGCTGGTTTGCAATCGATCCAGCGCCACCTTGAAGCAAAGCTCGAGGCTGCGGCAATGTGGGGGCTGCGGGAGGTGCAAGTGGGATTGGATACAGGCCTGGCGGAGGACGCTGGTGGTGCCCGACAGTAGCGTGGTGGCGACATGCAAGGGAGTGACTTGGGCGTGGCCGCGCCGCTGCGCCTCCGCCACCGCCAGCTTGAGAACATTGGCGGCCTCGGTGGTTAGCGTCTGCTGCACGGTGGACACCCCCGCCCGCATCTTTTCCTCCTCCTGGAAGGAATTCACGCGCGTGAGCTCGGTGGTCGTCTCGAAACCCCGCGGAGGATCGAAGCTCGATCGGAATTTGGAAGATCGAGAGAATTGCCAGCCGCGCGAGCCTGGGAGCGGAGAAAGGAAGCTCGCGCTTCTCCAAAGCTCGCCGAAGGAGACCAACTTGCCTGGATTTGCGCGCGGTGATCCGTGTCTTTAGAGGAACTAAATGCATCAATCTATCTCCTCCTCTTCCTCCTCCTCAGTGGCGGCAGAGGAACGAGTGGAGAGAAAAAAAGTATACGCGCGCGATCAGATCCTCTCCCCCTTTTCCCTCTCGGATCAAATCAATCTCACATCCACCTCCATAACTCTCAACTGGTGTTCCCCATACACACCACCATAGCACCCCTTTGAAAAAAAACTCTCACAATTGCGACCCCTTACCTATCCTCACCCCCAAAATTTCAACGCTGTCTTTCACCATTTAACCAAACAAAAAATGACACTAACCACAAAAAAAAAAAAACGAGAAAATTTTCCAGAGACCAAAAATCCGGAAGAATCGAACTGATTTCAAGAGACCCTCTGCAGTGCTGCTGCTGCTACTGCCTTTCCAATTCTTTCTCTTTTTTCATCTCTCACTCTTTTCTCCCCCCTATTTTTCGCAATGAGACTCTCTTCACGAATCGAGAAAAGAGGGACACCCGATTCCAATGAAATCGCAATGAATGTCCCTCAAAAGCAGGCTGGGCCCCGTCGCCGCCATAGCCTCGCCCCCAAAAAACTTTGCCCTGCATTTTTATGCCCCACTGCCGCCAGCGCGGCATGAGGGCTCCAGCTGTCCGGCCAGGATCCCCACACGTCACCAAGAACCGGGCCGCCCGCGCCACGTCCGCATGGGCATTCATCCTATGCTTTATGGGTCCATGATGTGCATCAATGATCATGCATGGATGGAATCATAATGCCCTAAAAAGGACACAAGATCATTTCTTTTGCCTCTCAAA